ACTGTCTGCCTCAATCCTCTCTAAGAAGCACAAAGGTAGCAGAGGTCTGGGAAAGTGATATTCCCTAATTTTATTTGTCTGTGACTAATACCATAAGCAAATTGTGAAAAGATTTTCCTTAGCATGTTTTAAGTTGGCATCTAATTTTTTTTTATCACAATTGCATAGTTGAAAATGATAAAATTTTCAGGATATGATGACTATTATAGTTGAAATTTGAAAAGTTCCTAATGGAATCTAATTACCATCTCCATTTGATAGTAATACCTGTGAATGAGGAAAAGACATGTCCTCTTCTCTATCTTCTCCTCTCTTCCACTCTTTTCCCATCATTTTCTGAATTATTCAAACCCAAACCATGGGTGAGTGGGTTTGAAACCTCTGCAAAGCAGGTATCCAGAGAGGACGAGGAGTCAAGTGTGTATTAGGGAAAATACCTGTGCAGGGAGATGGGAGGTACCCAAATGAGCATCAGATGATGATGTAGGCTGATGCGGAGGGGAGTGGAGAAGGGACAGAGAAGGAGGCCTGTGGAAGAAGGGCCTCAGAATGCAGTATATGATGAGAACATGTCATCCAGGCTGAAAGAGAGCACTGCAACTGAAGTTCCCTATTGGAGCAGTCCCACGTCTCAGGAAGAGTCTGCCTTACTGTCTAGACAGCACTGAGTCACTGGCTGGGAGCAATCATGGGGAAGCATAGCCTCTGTGCGCACAAGGTGGCAGATACAGAGGACAGACGCATCTATCAGTCACTCACCTCAAAGCCACAGGAGATCTGAGGGGGTGCAGGTCCATGCCTACCACTTCCTGTGCCTTATGCCTCCCACAGTTACTTCTCCTGGTGTGAAGAAAGCTTGTCAACTTGTCGAGTTATTTTATTCTTGGTTATCCAGTGTCTCATCCATTATGGATGCTTCCTGGTGGGTCTTAGTATCTAATACGCAGATCTTCACACTGAGTGCCTACTCACATGGCTGTCCTCTTCCTCTACCCCAGACAACCTTGCTCTCAGTTTTCTAGTCCTTTACCTTCCAAGCACCTATCTTAACATTTAGGTTTTAATATCATTTAGATAGACCAAAGCCAACACATCATGACATGACTGCCAAAACATGCAAACATTGTAACCTAACTCTTTGTACCCTCAAATTAACTTGAAACAGTAAAGGAGAGAGAGAGAAAGGACTGCCATTGGAAATGGCATTTGTTTTACTCAGATTCCAAGAGGAGGGGGCACACCATACCCTGTGTGTGTCTCACCCCTACCACATGTCCAGGACCTTGGCCACCCAGGTCTACACACGTGAGTCACACCCGGTGGACCTCCTCCATCCTGCATGCATGCCCGGTCCTGCCAGCCAGCCTCACCTCACTGGTGTACTTTATCGTAGAGGCTGACCCTATCTGCGTGGCCCAGTAACAAACACCGGGGGATCAGGGAGACCCAGCAGAGCAACAGTGTTAAAGGCTCTGCCCCACTCCTGTCTAGTTAAGCTTCCAGAGTAGGACCAAGCACACTACCCAGGGATCCATCCTGTCTTTAATGAGGAAAAGAGGCCCCGGCGGAGAAGAACAGGTGTATCATCCCTGCTGTCTGTTTTAAACTGAGAGAAGTGGCCCCCAATGAGCAGGAAAGAGGATAAAAACTCTGGCAACATGAAGAAAACAGGCTATCTCAACACCCACAAAGGATTGCAATAGCTCCCCCGGAGGGAATTTTAACCAAAAGGAAATCGTTGAAACGAGAGATATGAAATTCAGATTATGGGTAGAAAATTAGATGAGTGGCATGGGGGAGATGGTCGAAAATCATCTCAAATAAAAAAAACCAAACAAACAAAAGTCCAGGACAGGAATGAAAAGTATACTAAAGAGAAAGAAATCAGAAAAGGGATAACAGAACTTCAAGAAATGAAGGAGTCATTTAAAAATTCCAAAATACAGGCTCTTGCACCCCTTGCAGTGGTTAGGTACCAGCCACATACACTGAGGCTGGCGGGTTTCCACCCAGCCTGGGTCAGCTAAACAACAACAACTACAACAAAAAATAGCCGGGCCTTGGCCCCATATACTGAGGGTGGTGGGTTCAAGCCTGCCCCCGGCCAAAAAAAACTACAAGAAAAAATAGCCAGGCGTGGTGGTGGGCACCTGTAATCCCAGCTACTTGGGAGGCTGAGGCAAGAGAATCATTTAAGCCCAAGAGTTTGAGGTTGCTGTGAGCTGTGATGCCACAGAACTCTACTGAGGGCGACACAGTAACACTGTCTCAAAAAAAAAAAAAAAGTTCCAATACAGTGGAAAACCTTAACAATAACCTAGACCAGGCAGAAGAAAGAATTTCAGAGCTTGAAGACAAGGATTTTGAAGTAGCTCTGTCAGTAAAAAATGCAGAAAAAAGAATAAAGAAGAATGAACAGTCACTGTGGCAAATATGGTACTCTGCAAAGCAAGCTGATATATTATAGGTATCGTTTGATATAAGCATTCCAAATTGTATATAAAATCATCACATTGTACCCCTCAAACGCATTAATGTACACAGTTAGGATTTAATAAAAAAAAATTAGAAAAGAATTATAGATATCTATGATGGAGAAGGAAAAACACCAGTAAGAGTGGAAAATCTATTTGAGAGAATAATAGAGGAAAACTCCTCTAGTATCACTAGAGGATTAGGTAATCGGATACAAGGTGGTCATTGAGTATCTGGAAAATTCATAGCAAATACTCACATAGCCATCAGCCTGGCCAAAGTCAAAGTGAAGGAGAAAATCCAAGAGTTTTTAGATGAAAGCAACACATTACTTATAAAAGAAAACCCATTAGGCTAACAGCAGACCTTTCAATAGAGACTTTTCAAGCAAGAAGAGAAGGGCAGTGCCTATGGCTCAAAGAAGTAGGGCGCTGACCCCATATACCAGCGGTGGTGTATTCAAATCCAGCCCTGGCCAAAAATTGCAAAAAAAAAGAAGAGAGCAGGGTCCCATTTTTGATCTTCCTAAACAGAATAACTCGGATAAAAGGGGCAAACAAAGCCTGGATGATAGCACATCTGTTTGTAGCACAGTTTAATGAAAATTCTAAGCCCATTGTTGAGACCTACTGCTTAGAAAAAAAGATTCCTTTCAAAATATTACTGCTCATTGGCAATGCACCCGGTCACCCAAGAGCTCTGATGGAGATAGAGAAGGAGATTAATATTGTTTTCATCCCTGCTAACATAAAATTCATTCTGCAGCCTAGGAATCAAACTTCAGCTTTCAATTATTTAATATTATTTGCTTATTATTTAATACATTTTGAAAGGTTATAGCTGGTACCTGGTGACTGGCAGCCAACTAGTGTTACAGGAGTTGGGGACCAATGGTTCTACCAAAGGAAGAGGTGCTGGGCAGACAAAAAAATCTACGCAGGACAAGTAGCAGCTCTCCTATGCTCTTTACTTCCTTTCTGAAATTTAACTTGACCAGATATGCCACAAGCCTAGAAAAATGATCACATTCTTTGACTAGCATTCCTACTTTGACAAATTTACGCTAAGAAAGCAGTCAGAGATATGACCCCAAAATGTATATCCAAAGATTGCTCTCACAGCTTTATCTGTGTATGTGAAAAATTGGAAACCATGTTTCGTGATAGCAGACTGATCACATATGTTTTAGCATATCAATCTTACAAAATACCACAGAGCCATCAGAAAACAGATGTTCAGAGAACATTTCGCACCCAGGAAAATGTCTACAAACTAATTTTAATTGGAAAAGCGTTTTGTCAATGAACATGTGTAATTTGTAATAAGGGAGAAAAGAGCTTGTACATTTTTTTCCTCTGAAATCAAGTTACCAAGGAAATGCCAGAATTCCAAAAGGAGCATCAGGTCATAGAAGACAGGGCCCCTCTTATCCTGAGAGTTTAGAAGACAGCAGGAAAGATGCAAGTTAAATCCAAAGAAGAACTTCCTGACTATGAAGCCTGCCCTGGACTAGAATGAGTAAGACAAGCCCTGGAATGTCATCTTCCTTTCTCGGGCTCAGATGAAGCCATGCCCTGCTTTCAAGGTCCAGGAACTGAATGGTGGTGGCAGGAGTGATGGCAGAAGCCCAAGCTTAGTCAGGAGTTAGTTGTATGTTCCTGAGCCCGTTCCCTCGGATCTCAGGCCCACAGTTTCCTCTTCTTTCTTTCTTCCCTTCCCTTCCCTTCCCTTCCCTTCCCCTCCCCTCCCTTCCCCTCCCCTCCCCTCCCTTCCCCTCCCTTCCTTCTTCTTCTTTTTTTTTTTGTAGAGACAGAGTTTCACTTTATCACCCACAGCAGAGTGCTATGGCATCACAACTCACAGCAACCTCCAACTCCTGGCCCTAGGTGATTCTCTTGCCTCAGCCTCCCAAGTAGCTAGGACTACAGCACCTACCACAACGCCCGGCTATTTTTTTGTTGCAATTTGGCCAGAGCTGGATTTGAACCTGCCATTCTTGGTATTTGGGGCTGGTGCCCTACTCACTGAGCCACAGGCGCCGCCCAGTTTCCTCTTCTTTCAAAGTGAAGGGCTAAGAGGATGGATTTGATCTCTTCCAGTGCTGACAGAGTACTCTGGTTTGATGTTTCTGTTTGGGGCCTTAAGATGCTGAGCCATCTGTCCTCTACCAAATTTAGAAGCCAACATCTACATATGACTCCCATCTAAGATGGTAGTCCCTGAATGAGATGACATTTTTACTCAAGATCCTGTGAGACCAGAAAAGGGGTCCCAGTAGGCACTGACACCTGCAGTGACCAGCAAACTTAGCCAAACCAAAAGCCACACTCCACCCACCCCCAACAGCCAAGCCAGGCCCAGGCAGAGAGCAGTTCTACCAGATGCCACTGCAGGTGACCTCACCGAAGGTGGGGTGAGAAGGAAGGAGGGGGGGGGGGACTCCTTCCTCTCCTGACTAAGCTGCTCTGGCCTCTGTGGGGCTGAAGTGTGAACTGAGGGGGCCCTGGGCCCTGATCATCTTAGGTTCCAGCAGCAGAAACATGAGGTTTGGGAGGCTCCTCCTCCTGGCCGTGCTCCTGGCTGGGGTGAGCCAGCTGCCTGCTGTCTCTGGCCGGAAGAAGGGAGGTGAGTGTGGGCACATCCTCCTGATCCAGGGACCAGGCAGTTTCCACGTCTCTGGGGAGAGTAGGTGCTGGGGGGAAGGCAGAGAACTCCGTGTATGTATGTGGGGGCCAGGGACGGCGGCTGCTTAGTGCTTCCAGGAGCCTGAGTTTTCATTTGCGTATCTTTCTGCCTGTCCACCTGTCTGTCCGTGAAGGTCCTTCTGCTGCCTCCTCAGTGCTTGTCTTAGCCTGTGTGTGCGCCTGGGTGTGGGCCACGGCTCGCCTGTCTCGGTGTAGATATGTGCCTTTGTGCCTGCTAGTCTGTGCCAGGCTCTGCCTGCACGTGTACACTTAGGAACGGCTGCATCCATGTGTGTCTGAGCTTGTGTGCCTGAACGTGTATGTACATGGCGGGGGGGCTGTCCATGCCTGCCTCTCTGTGGTGTCACCAGATCAGTGAGTCAGTGGCTCAAACTGTGGAAAGGACTTAGGAGTTGAGCAGGGGGTGTAGCTTCTGAGATGTGGGGTCTGTTGGGAGGAACCTTGGTCCCAACTTCTCTTCTCTGCCCACCTCCCATCCCGGTTCCTACCCTGTCAAGGTTGGGCTGGCTGAAAGGTGAGGAAAGGCTGCCAAGTGGCTAGGCAGGTGCCTCCTGTTGTGGGTGAGGCCTCTGCCTCTGTCCCCTTCTGGGCCTGGAACACTCTGACCTACATTCACCTGCACAGCCCTTGCCCTGCCTTGGAGGAAGGGGACGGTAGTGGGAACAGTGAGGAAGGAAGGATACTGGTGGGTTCAAGGGTAGACCCTTTGTTGGCTCTGATTCATGCACCATCCCCACATTACTCCTCGGTGATGCTATGGGGTTGAGACTATTTTAACACCTTTTTACAGGTGAAGAAAACCAAGGCATAGTGGGAAACCACTTGCCGAGGGCCAAAGACTGACTCTGAGTTAGTATCTAGGTAACAGGCAAAGGCAGGTCTTTGAAATCAGAAAGACTCACCTCTCCAACTTATTCCTTGTAAAATGGGCCCTGTGCCACTCTCTCAGCAGCGAACAGTGTCATGAGGGATAAGGGCCTGCACTTACTGGGTGCTACACCCTTTGGGGAACCGCTGGCCCCAATATTCGGGGACCCCGATATTCAGCCGAGCTGCTCAGAGGCAACAGCTGGCACCAGCGGAACCTCTCCATATGGCCAGGTGTGACACGCCTGTCTCTCCCCTCATTCACGGCAACCCAGCCCTCCCTGATTTCTCTCTCCCATGAGATGTCTGCCTGGCTCTCAGTAGAATTTCAGGCAGTGGAGGAGGGTGACAGAGCTGAGGGATGGGACGTCCCAGTCTGTGGTCCTTGGAAGCCTAGCTCCCTCTGTTTATATGACATCAACCCCTGCCCCTCACTCTATGTCTGGGTGTTTCTCATACAAAGAGCTTGGCACAGGCCCTGATAAACAGTAAGCGCCTAATTAAATGTTTTCAATGGTTATGTGGCATTGGGAGTATATCTGTGCCTGTGTAGCTCTGTGCAGGTAACTTTGTATATAGATCTCTGTCTATGTATATACAAATCTCTCTGTTCACACACGCCACATAGACTTACCATATACCTGACTGTGTATGTCTGAAGGTCTGTGCAATGATCTAAGAGTATCTATCTGTGTGTGCAGGCACATAGGCACGGCAGCATGCTTGTATGTTTGACAATGTGTTTATGTCCCAGTTTAGACGTACATGTATGACGGCCTGTGTTTATATATGTGTGTATTTATCAATATACTGCATATATCTATAAAACTATCTGACGTGTGTATTAAGTTAAACCATGTAAAATAGCTATTTGTACAGATAAAAGATTGACTATCTGCAATTTCCTCTGCTAGTTGTGTATAGAGACCTCAGTGCGCCTGCACACTTGCCTGTGTTTGTATCTATGTCTGCGTGTGTGAACAGATACAGAACCATGTCTGGGTATGATCTTTTGCTCTCTGAGTGTTCACATCCATGGCGCCTGCATCTGTGTGTGTGTGAGTGCGTGTGTGAGTGCGTCTCTGTGCCTACATCTGCGAGCAGGAAACTGGGTTTGTAGGGATGGTGAGGAAAGGCGGATGAACAATGAGTGTGACTGTCCAGACCTCTCACTCCACCTCTGCACACTCCAGGCTCTTGTTCCCGCCCCACACTGCTGTTGTCACAATTCTCCCCACTGGAAATGCCAAATCTAAACCCCTTTCCCTGCCTGCTTGTGGCTCAAGGCTCAGCTCCGAGTTTATAATACATAGCACATATAGTTTATAACCACCCGGTGTCAGCCCCATTGGGCCCTCTGTGGCCTCAGCAACTCTGGTCTGGGCTTGCGAGTTCAGGGCTAAGTCCTGATCCTCACACGGGGCCCCTTGTATCATCCTCCCCACCCAACCCCTCCTCCCCTCAGGGGAGGCTAATCAGAGTGGGAGCTCCTCACCGGCTATGCCCCTCTTTCTCCAGCAGGGGGCAGCAACTCAATTTGAACCAGCCCAATCTAACACCTGATGTTGACTTTGGGTACTCAGAGTGTGCGCAAGGTGCCACGGAGGCAGTAAGCTGAGGGAAAAAGTTGGACCCAGAGGAAAAGTCACAGCACCGGATCCAACCAAAGAGTAGGCAGGGCGGAGTCTCTACGGTTCACAGACAGCCAGAGCAGAGGGTTGCAGAGGTCAGAGGGAGCTAGGCCTGGGGAGTCCTAGCCCAAGCCCCTGTGGGTCTGGGCAAGTCACTGCCCCAGTTAGGCCTGATTTCTTGCTCTAAGTGGGAGAAGATACTGATCTCCAGCTTTCTGTGTGAAATCTGGAAATGGCCCAAAATCCCAACAAGAAGAGCAGTTAGGTAAGCTCTGGGACAGAATATTCTATAGCCATTCAGAGGGATATTTCAGAGATGGAGTTATAATACACAACCCCTGAAACGATGCCCCTTGCAGCAGTAGTGTGAGCAGCAGTAATGTGCGCAGCAATGCAGGCGTGGCCAACCATGGCTGTGGCAATGAACCAGGCTGGCAATGGCTGACACATGTGCAACGCTGGGTCTCACTTCAAAACCCTTTCTTCCAAGTAGTCACTGGGTCCCTCATGCTGTGCACCACATGCTGTGATGCAGAGCAATGGTGAGCAGAGCAGGCAGGGTGTCTATCCTCACAGCCTCCAATCAAGTGAGAGAGGCAGGCAAAGAGACGCTGAGTCTGAAACCCCAAAGAAAGAGTGCATGGGGGTGGGGCGTGATGGGGCTGACCTAGTGAAGGTGGAGTCAGAGAGGTGGGGTCTTCTGAGGATGGATGTTTCAGCTGAGACCTAATGAGTTGATCAGGTGAGCGGTGTGCAGGAGGGCACACCAGGTAAAGGGTACAACCAAAGCAAGGGTCATGCAAAGAGAAGTGGCTTGGCGCAGGGGCATAGGGCAGGAGCCAGTAAGTGGACAGCGTGGTGGAGGAGGAGGCTGGGGAGGTGGACACAGCCCAGGACCGGCACCACATGGCCTGATTGGCCACAGTGGAGAATTCGTTCTTTCCTGTACTTTATCTGAGTCTCAAACTAGCACTGAGAGAAATGACTCCAGCTTCCCGTCATTTCACAGCCAGAAACTGAGGCTTGCAGTTGTTAAGAAAACAAAAACTTGCCAAAGTACATGCAAGAAGTAAGGGATGGAGAATTCAGATGTTGTGAGTCTTGGGTCAGTTCTTCCTACATAACCCTGAGCTGCCTCCAGCTGCAAGATCTGGGGAGTTCTCTTACAGAGAAGCCGGGAGGCTGTCCCCCAGATGATGGTCCCTGCCTCCTGTCGGTGCCTGACCAGTGCACAGATGACAGCCAGTGTCCCTCAACCATGAAGTGCTGCCCCAGAGCTTGCTTCCGCCAGTGCATCCCCAGAGTCTCGGGTAAGTGCCTGTCACCTTGCTGATTGCCCCATGCCTGGGGCTGGCCAGCACAGGCACAACTCACCCAGGCCCTTGTGTTGCAGTGAAGCTGGGCAGCTGCCCTGTGGACCAACTGCACTGCCTGAGCCCCACAAAGCATCTGTGTCACCAGGACTCGAACTGCTCAGGCAAGAAGCGGTGCTGCCCCACCGCCTGTGGCCGGGATTGCCGAGATCCTGTTAAAGGTACAGCTACTGGGTGCCTGGGGCAGGTACCTTCCTTCTTGAGGGCCCAGCTCTAAGATTTTCAAGTTTAACAAGATACCTTTTCAGAAGCCAGGACCTCCCATGATCTGAATTGGGGAAGTGGATAGGCATGGGAGGGGTCCTATTAGGAAGACGGAGGAAGTGCTGTATCACCTGGACCATAGCCCCCAGATATTCTGAGTTGCAGTTTGCCCTGCAAGGAGGCCGGAGAATTCTGCTCTTAATAGGGACCAGGACTGAGCTGATGGGGCCTGGATGGGGGAATCAAGCCCAGAACCCAGAGCCCTAGTGTGGGTGGGTGTGGGTTAACTCTTTCGTCCTCTCTTCTCAGAATAATCCTGGCTTAGGATCCACAGCTCTGCACTGCAGGTAGGGTTCCCAGCAGAAAGAGTGGACAATGGGAAGTCTGGGACCCTGACACGGAGACAGCATTGTTCCTCACCACCTGGCAGGAGTGGGGAAACTGCAACCTTCTGATTTCAAGACTGCTCTTTTGTAAGCACCAAAGGAGGCAAGAAAATCTTCATCTTTCTCTACTTCATCCCTTTTAATAAAAGGACTTGTTCTTCAGAATTTGGATTCAGTCCAAAAACTTCAGTCAAGGATCCAGAAGGCCACATGTGGCCCCAAGGCCACAGGTTCCCCACCCCAAGGCTCTATATCAACAGTACCCTGTGCCGGGGCCACACTGAGCTGCCCACCCCTTTCCAGCACCCACTTTCACATCTCTCTGTCCCTGTTGTTCCCTCCACCTGAAATGCCCGATTCAGGCAGCCCCTCTTTGTAGAGCCCTGACGCCTCCCTCAGCAGCCTGACTGCCCAGAACAAGTGCTCCAGCGAAGTTTTCCAAACATCGGTCCCTTCACATCCACCTCTTCCACGATCTTCACCTGATCTGCCAAACAGCATTATGATGTGTTACAGGCTTCCTGAACTACTATTCACTTCTGTTGTTCTTTAATCGACTCACTTTGTATATAAATAAATTTATTCCAAAAGAAAACTTGATATCCCTGTTGCAAGTGGGAAAAATGAGATCACTTGCCACAAGCAGAATGTGATTGTGGGAAACACATGCAATGAAAATAGCTCAGTTCCATTAAAGTAAATCACGTCGGATTAAATGATATTAAATAATGTTATTAAACTCTAGCTAGATAGGGCTACCTGCCAAGAGCCTGAAGCCTGCTCTCTGTCTCTTTTTTAGTAAACAGAGATTATCAAGGGTTAAGGAGCTGTTAGGGGTGCAGGTCTCCAGACTGAGGCCTTCTCCTTTAGGGTAATCAGAAAGACCAAGAAGAGAATAACTTGCTCACTCCAAGAGTCACTGTTGTGTGATGTTGCATCCAGCTACACACTAAGATCATCATGAAATGGCCCAAAGTTGGGGAAATGTTGCTTGAGCAGTTGAGATATCCTAGTTACAGAGGGTCTCCCACCACCTTCCTGCCTCCATCCACCTTACTCTCCTGCATTTCTCCAGAGCCCAGTCTCTAGTCAGGGTCTAAGTAGTGTTTCTTGGGGGAATAGGGAGTCAATAAGGGAATAACAGCCATTCTAAAAGAAATTCCTGGTCCTGGACAGCCAGAGTCCTCACTCTCCCCCATTCCTCCTGGTTCTATCTGCTGGGCCTTTTCTGCGCTGATGGACTCAGGAGTTGAGAGGTCAACCGTGAAGGTAAAATCGAAAATCCTTTCCCCCTTTTTTTTTTTTTTTTTTTTTTTGTTGTTGTTGTTTAACAGGCCCAGGTTCAAACCCACTATCCCTGGTTCACAGGGCAGGCACGCTAACCATTGAAGTACGGGCACCCAGCCAAGGGTGGTGGCTCATGCCCGTAATCCCAGCACTCTGGGAGGCTGGGGTGGGTGGATCGCCTGAGCTCACAAGTTCAAGACCAGGTTGAGCCAAAGTGAGACACCGCCTCTAAAAGTAGCCAGACGTTGTGGCAGGCACCTGTAGTCCCAGCCTCTTGGGGGGCTGCAACAAGAGGATCACTTGAGCCCTGGAGTTTGAGGTTGCTGTGAGCTATGATGCCATGGCATTCTACCAAGGATGACAAAGTGAAACTCTGTCTCAAAAAAAAAAAAGAAAGAAAAAGGAAATCTTACGTCTTCTTAACCTGTTCTCTGGACCTTGAAGTATGATCTCCAGTGAGTCCTTCACCACTCTGGGCTTCTGTTTCCTCTGTTGGAAGATGGAAGAAATTTCACTTCCTCACCACCAGTACTATGGGATTCAAGCTCCTGAACTATTGACTCAAAAGCAGAAATGCTAACTATATGGATATAAGGGGAAGCCCTGGAGACAACACCTATCTAGGAGTCACTGACTTCATGTGACCTTGGATATTTCTCTGTATCTTTCTGGGCTTCAGTTTCCTCATCTGTATGTAACCTCAGGTAATTAACACAGATAAAACAGCGGATTGCATTTTTTGCCCCTGATTGTCCCTTCCCCTCCTTCCTTTGGCTTCCCTGGGGGAGGGTACACATCCTTGCCCCAGTGTCCGAGGCTTGGCTATGAGACTTGTTTTGGTTAACGGATGTGATGGTATGCCAGTTTCGTGACAAGGCACCTGCCTTCCTACAGCTTCTACCCTCTGCCAAGAGAAGAACTTGCCCAGAAGCCTTTGGTCTCAGCATGAGAGACGCATGGGACAGGCCTGAAGCTAAGTCTTCCTAGCCAGTCTCAAGCTTGTAAGAGAGTAATACATGTGTGTGATAGGAAGCCACGGGGACTTGGGGGTTGTGTGTTAGTAAGAGCTTGACTAATTCAGATACTGATTATTAGACTGTAGTGAATGCCCACTTTATGCCTCCCACTTTATTTTATTTATTTGTTTGTTTTTAAAGACAGAGTCTCACTTTGTCACCCTCAGTAGAGTGCTGTGGCATCACAGCTCACAGCAACGTCCAGCTCTTGGGTGTAGGTGATTCTCTTGCCTCAGCCTCTCGAGTAGCTGGGATCACAGGTGCCTACCACAACGCCTGGCTATTTTTTGTTGCAGTTTGGCCAGGGTCAGGTTCAAACTCGCCACCCCCGGTATATGGGGCCAGTGACCTACTCACTGAGCCACAGGTGCCGCCCTATGCCTCCCACTTTAAAACATCATTTTACTCATTCATCCCATAGAAATATTGGCTTTGAGATAAGTGACTTGCCCAAGACCCCCAGCTGAGAGGTGACATAGACAAGATTCATCCATACCATATTCCTCCTTAGATACTAACAAAAGCAGCAACGAATAACAATTATAGAGCTTATCTGGTGCCAGAAGTTTTAATTACTCTCTCTATATATATATGTATGCATGTGTATATATATATATGTACACACACACATATATATACATAATCTCATTAGGTCCCCATAGTCTTTCTAGTAAGCTTCATTAATTTCCCCATTTTACATACCAGAAAACTGAGGCACAAAGAGGTTAATTTGACCAAGGTCATACATAGTAGAGCTGGGGTTCAATCCCAGGCATTCTAAACCTAAGCTACATCATTACTAACTACACTAATCAATTACATTTGGCCTTTGAAGATTCCTTCCAGGCTCAGTGCCTGTAGCTCCAGTGGCTAAGGCACCAGCCACATACACCAGAGCTGGTGGGTTTGAATCCAGCCCGGGCCTGCCAAACATCAATGACAACTACAATCAAAAAATAGCCAGGCATTGTGGTGGGCGCCTGTAGTCTCAGCTACTTGGGAGGCGGAGGCAGGAGAATCACTTGAGCCCATGAGTTGGAAGTTGCTGTAAGCTGTGAAGCCACAGCACTCTACCCAGGGCGACAGCTTGAGGCTCTGTCTCAAAAAAAAAGAGGGTGGCGCCTGTTGCTCAAAGGAGTAAGGCTCCGGCCTCATATGCCAGAGGTGGAGGTGGCAGGTTCAAACTCAGCTCTGGCCAAAAACTGAAAAAAAAAAAAAAAAAGATTCCTTCCAGCTCTAAATACTGTACATCTGAAAAATTAGGATCACAAAGAGGTTAACTGACCAGGTTCAATTCTAGACAACTGGAATCCAAGCCTGTTGGTGCATGGTTATCACCTGGGGTTTCTTTCATGAAAGGAAAGGAAAATCAGGAGGGACATTAAAAGGCCCCAGCAGGAAGCTCCCTGGTAAGCCAGTTATGGGAACATATTGTCATATGGTGGTATAACGGACACTGGAAACTAAGAAAAGAGGATGGTGGGAGGGTATTGCGGAATCAAAAATTACTGGGCAGCGCCTGTGGCTCAAAGGAGTAGAGTGCTGGCCCCATATGCCAGAGGTGGCGGGTTCAAACCCAGCCCCGGCCAAAAACTGCAAAAAAAAAAAAAAAATTACCTATTGGGTACAATGTACACTATTCTCGTGACATGTACACTAAAAGCCCTGACTTCATCATTATACAATTCATCCATGTAACAAAAACACTTGTGCCCCCCTAAATCTATTGAAATAATAATAAGACAAGGTCTCTGTCACACTGGCTCAAGTGCAGTGCTATGATTATAGCTCACTGAAGCCTGGAACTTCTGAGCTCAAATGATCCTCCTGCCTCTGCCTCCCAAGTAGCCAGGACTATAGGTACACACCACCATACCAAACTAATTTTTTTTTTTTTTTGAGAAAAGGGTGTATGTTGCCCAAATTTCTCTCAAATTTCTGGCCTCAAGTGATCCTCTTGCAAGATGATTATTTTGAATTCTTTGTCAGATAACACGAACATCTCAGTTTTAAGAGTTGATTTCTGGATACTTATTTTGTTCCTTCTAGGAAAACAAAAAAGACTGCTAAGGGCCCCGTAGCTATCCAGGGGCTCTGAGTTCTGAGCCAGGTCTCTGGAATGACAGAAGGTGAAAGGTCACAGACTGTGGCTTCTCTGGCTACAGATGGCAATACCAACACTATCCACTCTAGAGTCACCTGCTTACTTTCCTGGCTAACTTGCTACCTGTTCCATCAGATCTGTGCATTGGTCTATGCGATGCCAGCTCCGTACTTGGCTGCCAACTCCAACTCCGTCAGCTCCATCTCTGCTGCCTGTCTCC